AGATTCTAGAGACGGGAAATATGAAAAATAAACAATGTTTCACTAGCCAGGATTAAAAATAAACATTTTCCAATTGTTCGTTAGATGTGCTAACCATTCATGCTAAGCACTCATGCTAACCAACAGGTTTAGTAGGGGAAGAATGTGATAATTCCTAGTTAGTTAATTTCGAGAAGAAACTTCTAAGATTCTAGAGACGGGAAATATGAAAAATAAACAATGTTTCACTAGCCAGGATTAAAAATACACATTTTCCAATTGTTCGTTAGATGTGCTAACCATTCATGCTAAGCACTCATGCTAACCAACAGGTTTAGTAGGGGAAGAATGTGATAATTCCTTATGGCTATAACGAATATAGTTTTGTTTGAAAAACTCGTTTAGAAAATATGTTTTACTTTTTATTCAAGAATTTCAGTGCAAAATGATAAATAAAATAATAATTTTTAAATTAAAAAGTCCGTGTGATTTTTTAGTTTGCTAATTTGGATCTGTATGGAAAGGAGGTAGCAACTCTCCTTTTAGGTGAAAGGTGACAAAAATTTGTGATATTGTACCTATATAGAGCAGAAATATCTGCACCCTAAGAGCTTCAAGCGTTTTGAGATTGTGATGGACTCGTTTGCGAATATCACTTGCGGACTAGTAAAGAAATGCTGCAGAAATTTATTGAAGGCCAAACTGGCGCCAGATTTCACAGACAGACGAAGAAGATAAGAATCTTACTTACCCTCTGTTTCTGTTCGTAGGGAAGAAATTAAATCTGAGAAGAAAGAATGTAGATAGAGAGAAATTATTTTTAAGAGCAAAAATAATTTCATAGTCTTCCATTCGAAATAGGAAGTTTAAATAAAAAGGTAGGTTCAAAATGCACAACAAAAAGCCCAAGTTATGAAAAAACGTTTATAGGCCAAAGTTGCAAAAGGGAAAAGAAGAATGATTTGGAGAAGAGCAAAATTAAAATAAGGGTTGCAATTAGCACAAATGTATGCGAAGATTGCATTTGTAATTCTTATTCTTAACATCATTATATGACTTGGGTAGAGTATGATAATCTTTTACATTCGTCCTTTAGATCACGTATGTTTGAATTCCTTTCTGGGTAAACAGAATTCAAAAAATGAAGAAGTGGTGTCCTAAATCGGATATATCTCTACTCTGTAAAAATGCAATTGTTTTACCTCAGTGAAATAATTTTACCCTCATAAAGTTGAAAATATTTTGAAGAGTTCATTTTAGCTATAAAAGAGTTTTATTTATATTCTTGTTTATAGTAATTAAAATTCTACATTTTGTTTAAAAGACTGTATGTATAGAATTCTATACTGTAAGAATAAAATATTTTTTTACGCTAGTGAAATAGGTTTGCCCGGATAAAGTCGAGAATATTTCGAAGAGTCCATTTTAGCTATGAAAGAGTTGAATTTATTTTCTATCTTTCAATAACTAAAATTTTTGATCTGAAAGCTTTGTAAATATTCTGAATCTGAATTAAAACAAAACTTTATATAACTGTAGTACTTAAATCACGTACGTAATATTTAATTGCCATATTAAATTTATTTAGGCGTATTCGTATTGTGTTACGAATACTAAACAAACTTACCTAAGTTTTTCTTAATTTCTGTTCTCTTTGATACATTTCTATAGGTTTTTAAGATAACTAACGATTTCAGTTTTACTAAAGGATTTCAGTATTTGCTCATTTGTTTCAGACATATGTATTCAAATATGTCTGAAACGATTTCGTTCGAACAAACAATTCGATATTTCATAGTATAGGGTAAGGCTGCGTATGTCGTACCTCCTAAGAAAAATAAGAATCAATAGAATACTTATTTTTACTTAGGGATGATATATGAAAATATCCATTAAAAATAAATATTGTGTGTGGCAATAATATGTGATATTTATTACAATATCACATCTTGGATAAAATTTATGAACACGAATTTAATACCGCTTAGAAAACCAAAATTCTAAGTAGTACCAACTATAGCTTAAGTCATATTACGCTTAAAATTGGACAATTATAATACAGGTTTCTTTTTCTAAAATTAATTTATTTATGCAGTTAATTATATCACAATGATCACACATATATGTTTTCATTTTCTTTTTAACTCCAGCACAAAAGTCGTGTACTCATCCTTTGCATTTTAGGTACTGAATCATATTCTCTTCGCGAAATTCCTCCCAAATATTATGAATAATGATAATATTATGATCATTATGACACGATGTGAAACATTATGTTTGAGTTTGATTCATGGAGGTAAGAAGGAGAGGAGACGCCTGAACTGTTTTTTCCCGTACACCCTTTTGAAGCAATGACTCATCCCTCTTGGTGACCAGAACATTCAGTGACTTGCCATTAAGGAAGAACTAGTTTTGACATGCTCAGAGGTAAAAAATTTTTAATTATGTCGTAAGTATATGTGCAAATGTATATATTTTCTTTTCTACATTATTTGAAAGTATGTGAAAGAATACAGTTATAAACAGCATTTGAATCTAAACAGAATAAAATGCTGTATTTTTCCCAGAACAGTTTTAATTTGAATGATATGTTTTCACGGGTTATCGCTAATTACATTAGAAAGAAATTTACAGGTAATTTTATTTTATTCGATTAACGATTACAAAAATTAAAATTTATTGTATTATTATTATTAAAATAACGTATTATTTCTTTTCTGTTTACATAGCTTCTTACTGAAATACTTTCTCAAATATGAGATGATTTTGAGCTTTTAAGGAAGCTTCAGATCAAAATTCATTCAACATATTCTTCACAGCATAATTAATGCTCTGTTTGATTCACTTCCAATTAGAACCCTTTTATTAGTCGAAGGAGAAAATCTGGCCAGAAGGAATATTAATTTCGTTTTGGCATTTTGCGTTGGTTCACTATAAATGTCAGTTCACTTTTCAAATTGCTGCCATCAAATATTAGAGCCCTGTATTACATTTAAAGAAACTGAATAATGAAAATCTGCATAAATGTATTTCTCGCATTGTGATAAAACGGTACCTAGAGCCATCAAATTTTGAATAAGGTACGTTTCTTCGCGAATACGGGCATCTGGACGCCTAAATTTGGAATTTGTTTTATTAACTATTTCATATTTTGTAAAACTTTAAAGAATTAATTAAGAAACTCAACGATTTAAAAGCGAGCAACGGCAACATTCTGCGGGGGGGGGAGGGACTTTTTATCTCCAGCGCGCGGACTGTGTATCGGAAATTCTAAAGATAGGCTCATTTTAAAATTTTTTTGTTTTATGGTTAATTTAAAGTTTTTATGGTTTATGTTCGAAGAACATGATATTTAATAAATAAAGGTAACACATAAAACGTTAAAAAAAAACGCTCCTTTGGGCGTAATGTAAAATCTGAGACTTTTCAGATTTTCATTTTTTTCCACCTTTTTCTTTATTCTTTAATACTTTAAATATTGTTGCTGATTTCTGATTTGCATGTACTTAACTTTATTATTTCTTAGTACATATAATAAAGTACTTAACTTTATCATATGTACTTAACTTAATTATTTCTGAAAGGGAAGGGGGTTTGTTAATATTATTTAAAATTTGTAACTAAATTATTATAAAGGAAATAATTCTTCTAATATTTATCAAAAAAAATTTCCCCCACCTTGATTTCAACAATACACATTCTAAAAATTCTACTTTACTACTTCCTTAAGTGCACATATCTCATGGACTGTGCTTTACATCACCGTTTAATAGGTTGTTTACCAGTGCGAACAGTTCTGCCTCCTCGATATATGTAGTTACCGTCACCAGTTCTGGCTCCCTGGTGTATATATTACCAAAGTTGTGTTAATATATTTAATTCAATTATTTGTAAAATAATTCTCGGCCTGGTTTCACCGATATAATTATCATCAGCTACATCACTACTAATTATTGTTTTATATTCAATTTTGCCATCCTGTTATTAAAAATAAAATTACTGTTGAATTATCAGACGTTTTCTGATGGTGGATTTCATAATTTTCCCATTTTATCTCATATCTTGAGCAATCCAGATATTAACTCTCTGAATTTTACTATGAATCTGTTATTATCTGGTTTATTATAAATTATCTAACTTATCACAAATGATAATTGTCACTGCATTACGCTTTTTTTGTACTTGAAACTTCAAATTTGATATTTAAAATAGATATTTTTAAAAATCTTTTACTTCAAATAGATATTTTTAAATATCTTTTTTATAATTGATACATTTTTTTTTGCATATTTTCCAATTTTAAAATGCTATACAGTGGAGATAAATTTCTTTCTGTTGCCAATAATGACGGAAGTTTTTAAGGAATAATTAACTCTTACGTCAGCAATATTGGACAATTAATATCATAAATTCTCTTAAGTTATTTCAGTTTGTTTTATCATTAATTAGCTGTAAGTATTTATTTGTTCAGTTCATTCTTATCAACATATCTCATTAGGTGTTAATTTCCTTGGCAGCAATGATTTTTCTCAGTGGGTAAGTTCCTATTAAATTTATAACGGATGCTATCATTTGCATCTTTCATCGCACTAGATGAATTTATTCGTTCTTGGTATTTGACATATATTGCAGCAATGTTCCTTTTGTTATCCCTATTTGAACCATTATAAGGAGTAGATCAGATGTCAATGAATGCAAACTGACTATGCTTTTAACACTTATATTTCAAGTGCTGTTATATTATTTGTGATTGAGAAAAATGAACATATATTTCAGAAAGTAGAAATGTTTTTATGACATTTTTTACAATAATCTAGGGTACTTTCAAAAACTTTATCTTTTTATTCTCACTCCAGTTTAAATCATATTTTTGCCTTTATATAAATAACAGTCTCTCATATAAAAAAGAAAACTGTCTCAGACTGCTAAAATACTCCAGTTAAAGCTTTTTTTCCCATTGAATATTCACAATACTATAAAAAATACAATATGAGCACATTAAGAGAAAAAATAGTCTTTCGTATCAACACAAAACTTTTAATTTTCAATATTACAAGCAAAAATACAATGAAACTTTCTGTACAAAAGAAAACAGAAGAAAATAATTACATAGAACAATGACATTGAAATGTCCACCAGTCAATGATTGAAGTACAAAATAATAAAACAACAAAGAACAACATTTAGAGTCATTGGCTGGCATCATTAATCTACTGAGAGGTAACCAGCAAACACAGTGATTACCTTTAATCGATTCACCTCGTGCAAAGTCCATACATAAATATAATGCATAATTAGACTTTCGATTACACTGTTAGTTGAAAGTCAATCAGTCTGTTCAAAGTGGCGTGTGACAATCAGCAACTGTTCTGCTAGAGCAGATTGATTAGTTATGAAACAGGATATCAATCTTTACACTGTATTTACAGTCAAAATATTTCTTTAGTTACCGGTAATTGGAAGAAAACAGGCCTGATACTGGAAATAACAAGTAACAATTCAGATATCATACTAGCGGTCTAATTATCGTGGAATATATGTATCGACTGTCATGAAAGACTGTTTTTGCAATGATAATCACGTGAGTATCTGATTCTAAAATGGCTCTAACAAACATTTATTATGTAATAAATACATGATTTCGTTTACCTACACGAAATCAACGATATCTAAATCAGCCATGTTCGCTTAACAAAAAATAAAATTATCGAAATTATCATTTAGGTTTAGTGTCAAATAGCGAAATATCTTGTTGTTTTTGAAGGCTGCTAGAGGTTATTCAAATGATTAAGACAACAGAAAATGCAATTTTTGCTGCTGTATATTCTTTGAAGTCTATTATTCTACAAAGCTGGAAGTCTTTGTAGAATAATACATAAAATGGAAATCATTTCTTATCTACCACATTTCACAAAATATAGATATTTGAATTTTAATAAAAAAGAGTTAGAAAAGTGTTTAATTGAAAAATGAAACTCTACAAAGAAAATGCTTAATATAAGGCATTAGAAAGTTTTTTTTTTTTTTTTTTGCTAACTTAACTAATAAAATGCGTTAATAAAAATGTCAATTTAGTGCATTATAAATTATATCAATTACGTATATTAAATATTAATTACTAAATGCAATATTAATTATATGAATTAGATAAAACATTTAAGGTGTGCAAGTCCTTTTAAATCACTCAGTTTATTATTACCGGCAAGCAAGTACTGCTATAATTTGAAAACTAAATTAAATTTTTTTTGCCTCGGAGATAGCTACAAATCCCACAATTGAATATCTTCTAAGTAGAAAAGATAATCAATACAGAAGTAGTACAATACAACATAATTTGTTTGGGAAAATGGGGAAGACATGTTAAAACTTGATGCGTACTAATTTAATCAATTTCCACAATCGCAACACACGAAATAATTTCTCAATATATACTCGTATTTAAGTTTGGCTTAAATACATATAACCTGCATTTAGATTTACAAAGTATAAAATGCAAAAATATGTTGAACAAATATATATATTGAACAAAGAATTAGATAAAAAATTAGAGAAATAATTTTTAACAATTATAGAATGCTAATTAAACGTTATGATTTGAAATATTCATGTTGTACTTATCGCTAACAAATGAAAATATTATCACAATGCAAAAGACCCCTTTACCTATTTTACCATACTCTAACTGTGTTATGAGAGTAATGCCATTAAAATATCAATTTGATTCAGTTCAAAGTTAATATATTTCACCTACTCCGAGTTTTTAAATTTTCTAAGTTTTCTATATACTGAGAGCTATATAAATTTTATGACCTTAAAATTTATTCCAAAATTTTTAAATTTTCACTCTCATTTGAATCATATATCTCAGCTAGTTAATTGTCATTGCAAAAAAATAAACAGGGTGTTCAAAAATGTGTCTATAGGTTTTATTCCCTTATATATTGAACTTAGACATGTATTTGTACTACAAAAATTCTCAAAGAATGGCAGAATTGCTGAAAAACCATTTTACTGAGGGGAAAAAAGTTCTGCAAGTGCACAATTTAGCATCTCATGTGTTTTACTTAATTAAAGTATTTAAAAAAAATGAGTTTCTTACAGGGCTTTATTTTATTTCCATAAGATCTTCTGCAATGGAAAATTTATGAAAAAAATATTGCATAAGTTATATTAAAAAAGTTACAGTTAAAATTAATAAAATATTACAATAATGAATAAATGAAAACTTCGATACAGCTGAAAGCTGACAACGTTGTTTTTCGTCTTACATAAATGCTCTTTCTGAGATAAGTTTAAAATTTCTAGATGTAATGACGAATCGCAAAGAGCAAATGACTGATTATATACAAAGAAGGCTGTATTTAAGAGTTATATGGAATGACTTGCGCTTGCTTGCTTCTGAATCTTGCTGATTTCCTTGAGTAAAATAGTTTTCTTCCCGAAATCACTAGATTAATATTTATTTAGTTGTTAACTGCTTAATCAGTTTAAATAACCAAATGAAAAATCATGATCATGCATGAAGATAGTCAGCAGTCTATAAATTATCAAACTAAAGGAAATTTATTCAAAGTTCTTTGGCTTCAGAGCATATTAGTCCTTGAATATTTACCCTTCATTAATTATTTAAAAACATCCAGGTATAACAATCACGAATTCTGGTCTCGTGACTCATCACAGATAGAATCACAATCGTCTTCGTCTTCGCACATTGATTCTTCGGAGTCTTCCATGGTAGAAGACAAGGAGGTAGGATGACCCTCTTTGGAATCAGACTCATTCTTTGAGCTCGACTGACCATCGGAGGGGCGTGACTGTTGCTCTTCTTCCTGCTTCTGCCGCTTGTGTTTAGTTCTTCTGTTTTGAAACCATACTTTCACCTAAAAAATAAGCAAGAAATTAGACTTAATAAAGATGGCAACACTAGTTGAAATTATAAATTTTAAAGAGTTTATACAAATTGCTATTAACTGCAGAAATACTGTAAGACAGGACTATAACATGCATACTCTCCACACATACACACGAAAAAAAGGGGGGAGGAGCAGTTCTTTGTCGTTCTGCTTGGCCGATTGACGAAACCTAACTTACGTTTTTCATGTCTCGAAAGCGCGACTTAGGGTATTTAATAGATTTATGTATAACAGTGTTCAGACACATGCATTTTGACACTTCTGACATGACATATCGCTCTTTTTCCATACTTCTATTCTACTACTCAAATTATGCCAAAATGCCAAGTTCTGTAAAAAGCGCACAGGTAATTATAAAAAACTAGCTCTCAAACTTTAAACTCTTCAGTATTAATTGAATTTGATATTATATATATATATATGTATATATAAATGTTTTTTTTATTAAACTTGATTCCTTCTTTCACTATTTTTGAAGAAATGTTTCAATTATAACCCATAAAATCCATTTTAAAGTAAATGTATTTCTAAGGGAACTCGCGAAATATCAGAGGTTTTTTATTAGAAATTTCTTAAGATATACTTGAATTTGTATAGTGGTGCGTTCTGAAAGTTGGCATCTTTGTTTTAAGCAATAATAACGCCAAATGTGGTTTACGAATTTTAACGTGAACCTTTTTTTCAGATCGTGCAAAATGAAAGGGAAAGGAAAATAGGTTACCAAAAATTATAAGTATCGCCAAGTGAATTATTCTTAACGGTTAGAAGCGTTAACGTAAACTGAAAAAAGTGTACCAAGTTAAATTTTTGAATTCCTCGGTAAGGTTCTCATTAAAATTTACAAAATTAAATATTTAGCCATAATCTGAGTCGTAAAATCGAAATTTGGAAAAAAATCAGTATGCCATTTCAGAAAAGTCTGGTTTTTTGTCAAAATAATTATGTTAGAACAATACTATATATAAATCTAATATATAGCCTAAGTCGCACTTCCGAGACATGAAAAATGCAAGTTAAATTTCGTCAATCCACCCAGTAAAAAGGAATATATAGAACTGTCCCCCTTTTTTTGTGTGGGCGTGCAGAGTGTATATTCATATTCTAAACGATAACAAAACTGTATACATTGTCAAATCTCGATTAAGCGGGGTAACAAAATAGAACGCATTAGTGTATCTTTGCATAGAAGTGCATTTGTGTATCTTTAAAGTCTAAAATAAAAAATTATGTAGTATATTAAGTTTAAATTAAGTAATTAAAATGTCACGTAAGAAGTAATCGGATAATTGAATGCTTTATTTGTTTGAATTTTATTTGGTACATTAAAATGCTGTTTTTTTTTTTTTTTTTTTTATTATATTATTATTCTAGAAAAGGGAAACAAAATGTTCTAGGTCTATATATGGTGGTCTTTATTTTACCAGTTTTCAAGTTTTCATAAATAAAAATGTTTATCTCCGTACACAGAGAAACGAAATATATAGATGGCATTATGGATCCTGTTAAATTAGCTGAGACAGATTACAGCATCGATCGTCTGATACCATTCTTCTCATTTGTACACTCAATACATCCAACAACAACGTATACTTAAAGAAGGTTTACTCCATAAAGGAAAAGCAAAACATATTTTTATAAAATCCGACAAGCAAAAACAGAAATAGGAAAAGAAATTAAGGAAATGGTGCAGAGAAAATGAAGAGGAGGGGAAGAAAAGGCAGAAGCGAATGAAACGACGCATACATTTTCTTAATCGCATCGTTTCCATAAAAGTAGTAATTCGATACATTTATATACCACTATGAAAAATTATATAAAGAAATAAGTTGAACAGCATTGAGAAGGAGAGTTGTTCGCTTATGCGTCAAACTATTACGCTACCAGCGTATTAAGGACTCTAAAGAGACTACTATATTCTAAAGTATTCATTTATTTAATAAACATCACTCAGGTATATAACATACAATTAATCTTCAATAAGCCTAACTAATTACAGAAACATGTTTTCCTAATTCTAAGAATTGCCCTGTTGCCACTCTCATGAAACCAAACTAACAACAATTATTAGTGGCCAAAAGGTAAAAGTAATAAGTATTGTAAAATTATAAGTATAACATTAAAGTAAAGTAAATACAAAATACAAACTACATTGTTTTGAAATCCAACAAGAGTATATAATAGTACTTTATTTATAAATACACAAAATTTAGTTTTCGTGGAGGTGGTAAGCCTTAAACAGTATGCTTATTGGGATTGTCAAAAATCACTTAATAACATTTTCAGAATACCGGTCTATTTAAGAGATGGTCTACGCAAGAAATTTAATTGTTATTGATAATTTACAGCCCATTCTTCAAAACATTTAAATTTGCAACCAACAATATAAATATGACTTTTTTTTTAATATCTTCGAATTTAAAGCTGAGTGTTAGATGGAGATATAATTATTAAAAAAATTGCTTAATATAAGAGTTATTAATAATTAGAGCATCAAAACGATGTCCAAATAATACATTTTAAATCTAAAAATAGTGCACAAGTTTTAACTCTTTAGAATAACGTTTATTCCTCTACATACCAAAATAAAGATAAATACAGTAATTGCACAAAAATATTCTGGAAATAAATTTAAAAAAAAAAAAAAGTGTTACTATATTACATGAAAACACCAGTGTTGTAATTTTAAAAGTGCAGTAAATACGTTAATTTAATTATATTGCATTTATCTACAAGTTTTACATTATCAGCACGTGTATTGTTCCGTATTTATATAAATTTACACAGCAAAGAGTCTATAACAGCGGTTCTCAACCTTTTGACTAAACGCGTACCATTTAAACAAAAAATGAAAAACTTTAGTACTACCACTACATTTTATTTACAATGATACACTTTCATTTACAATGATTATTTTTCAATTTCTCAGTAGAAATATTAAAAAAATATATTTTGCCATTTGTACAACCTGTTGGCTATATTAAATATACAGACATAAAAAATATCAGATTAATAATTGGTTACCATTTTAATTATCAAAATTTAAATTACAATAGTTTAATTCTAAAACTTAGTGTACCATTCGGGGCCTGTTTATGAGAGATCAATTTCTTTATACCTGATCTTATTTCACTTAACTTTAACCGTAAATTAAAATCCAATTTTAATTTTGTTCTATATTTCTTTTTCAAATAAAACGCGGAAGAAAATACTTGTTCACTCAAATAGGTTGTGCAAAAAGGCAATGAAAATTTAATAGTTTTATTTGAAATGTATTTAATTTCTTTTTTTTGGGGGGGGTCAGCCAAAAGTTAACAGGTGTGCTATTTTTGAAATCTTTAATTAGAGTTCGTTCACAGGAAACTTCTATCAATTGTTTTTTTTCTGCACGAGATTTTTGAAATTAATAGTTAAAAATATAACATTATTTTTATATCATAAATGCAATATGAAAATTGAATGTGACCCGCAACATTAAAAAATTTCTTTTTCCTATTCCATTAAGCAACACAAAGACAATACATAAAAGAAAAATTAAGTGAAATTGAAATTCAAAATTAAGTAATATTCAATCACAGATTACACCTGGCTTTATCGGAAACATTTTCCTATTAATCTGCAGTTTAATTTTAGCGTGAATACTATTATGAAATCGTGTTTAATTTCATATATCTGGTATTTCATAAATTCATTGAAAATGAGAGATGTGACCTTCTTTAAGCAAACATTTTCTACCTACGTATTTTCCGTACTTTCTTAATTCAAAACTATCGTTAATTTAGTTAAAATTTTCTACTGACTAAACTTTTAATAACTATAATGAAGATTAAGTAAACCACTTCAATCATTATTCATTTCTGTGTACCACATAGGTCTTTAAATGGAGTACATAATGATAATTAAAAGAAAAATAAAAACAGAGAGGAAGTCAAAGTTGAATGCTGCGGAAAGAACAATGAAACGACTTCTTTGGGGGAGGAAGGAGATGTAAGACAATGCGTTAGAAACTATACATTATCTATAATTACTCGTGAAAATTCATAAAATATTTATGAACCGTTAGTCAACTTTACAAATCTAGTACAAACCGTGAAATACTCGACGTGTATGATTAGGCTGGATTTGAATAAAATAACGGCATGAAGATTGATAGCTTCAGCAGTCAATTACCTTCGAATCACGAAAGTATTAGGAGGGGGAAAAGATATGTTTAGTAGGTCAGCGCTATGAAGGAATTAACAGACTGGATACTAGCAAACACTGTTTATGAGAAAAACCTAATCTTTTTCTTTGAACGATTAAAAGATATTAGATGTATTGTTAGTAATAAATCTTAAAAGCGGAACATTTCCCGAATACGCATTACACAATCACGCGAATACCAGCAGGCAAATGGACTTAGCTTAGAGATAGGTAGTGAGTCGAATTAAGATATAAGCCAATAAGAACCTCGAATTTCGACAGTATTCCCGAAGCACATCCGAAAAATATACTAAAAATAAACGAAAAAAACGTTTATGGAGTTTTACATGATTTCGTAAAATTTAATCGGTCCAAAATCCCTAACAGAAGTTAAGCGAATTATTGCTATAGATTAAAGTAAATAGAAAGTCAGAGAAAAGTTTAAACAGTATTTTATTTGATCATGGTAAAGCATTCTAAGGCTATATGTCTAAGGAGAGAGATGCTTTCGTGGAGGGTTTCTAAGGGAAACTAGCTCGTATACACGTATACACCTTTTCCGAAATTCGAACCAAGATTATTGCAGTCGGCATCGCTAACCACCATGCACGTTCAGATGACAAACAGCTTATTTACTTTTAATATAATAGTGTTTCGCGTTTCGCATTAATTACGACGTAAATGTCACCACATACAAAAAGATTAGATAGACCAATTAGAGTTTTTTCACTATATGTAAACACAAAATTTTCAAAGATTAAATTATAGATGTAGGGCACAGCAAAAAT